CCAGGCAAGCACTCGCATAATCCCGTCAAGACTGGCATTCTTCAGCATGTGCCCCTTGTAGAGGGCTGTCAAAGGAATCCGCATAGATGCCCAAGCTCCTCCGACATGAGGAAAGTTCATCGTCAAGACTTCGAGTGATTCGGATCTGTCGTATTTCACCGGGATGCCGTCGTGCCAGAAACCAATCGGGATAATTCGGTCGTTGTCACCAAACCCCAACTCCTTGGATGCATTGTCCAAATGCTGCCTGCAAGCAGCCCTCAAGTTGTCCAGTTTCCAGAACTCGTCGTCGTGATTGTTCCAAGTGCTGATGGCAGCCACTAGCTCATGTGGCAACATAATTGCGATCCTGCCCGGTTCCGCCTCCTGCTTTGCCCTATTCAGAAGCGGCACAGTCGCTTCGTAAAGACCTGGCCACTTTTTGTCTTTCTTGAGCTTTCGCAAAAGATCTCTATGAGCATGACTGCTGTCAGCTACTTGAGCTAGTTCGGCAGTTTCTCGAGCATCATGAGTTTGACTGTCCGAATACAAGGATCGAGCTCTTTTGGCACTGACTGCCCCTGTTAACAATAAATCTGCCACATTATCCCGCAGCCGCCGGCCATCCTCCTTGGAACCATGCACCGCATTCTTCGACAGCATGCGAGCCGTCCACCTATCGATCCTACATTAATTATTATGTACAAAAGGCACACCTATAGCAAATCTACAGTAGACTTACAGCACGTGTTTCCATACAACCTGCCCCAGTCGTACAGTGCGGTTGCCTCTACACTCGATGTCTCGATATAACTACAGCTAGGAACGAGCTGGAGCAACATCCCCATGGGAGTTGATGCCGACATGCATGCACATGCAATGTTAACAGCATGCATCTGGAACAAGCGCCCCCTTTTGTGGGACTGTCTCAAACGACCATCATCGATCCGGCCATGGGTCCTGCAAGAGAACAATTCCAAGTCGCAACAAAGCTTGAGACTCAGCCCAAATTTGTCCATCTATCTTAAGATGCCTCTACCCCAGAAAACATAATCCCCAAACCCCCCAACCTAAACCCACAAGAAATAAACCCCGAAACCTGAACCAAAATAGCCTAAACCCGC